TTTTTTCATGAATAAAAGTCAAGTGGGTCGGCTAGGAGAGTGACTTTTGAACATCCTCTCTTCTAGTCTGGCCGAACACTCTTCTCCTCTCCTTCTTCTTTCTCTTTTCTTTCTTCTTTCTTCTTCTCTACTTTGACCTAGAAACAACTAGGGTTTATTCACAATATATAAAACATAAAGAGTCATTAATTAACAAAAATAAAGAAGTAGGTTAATAGTAATTAAGCAATACTACAAAATAAGAGGCCATGGGTTCAAGTCTTGTCACACATGTTTTGAAATTTCAATTGTTTAATGGCCCAAATAGTTTCATGAAACCGAGAATGGTTCACCAGTTTTCCAGTTAAACCAGTCAGTCAGCCAGCTTTTTTTATCAATAATAGAATCAATTTCATTAAATTGGTCAGTTAGCCAGTTTTCACCAGGTTTTTAACCATTTCAATTCTTGGGGTGTAATCGAACTGGTGAGGGCCCCAGTCACGGTGCAACCCATCTGACCGACCAGTCCGGTTCAGTTTCCTAAACTGGTTTTATCCCTATCCCTTGGAAATCATCTAACCTCACCATTCAACTAAGATGGGATTTCCCTAATTTCATTGAAAAAGTAAGAGAACATACAAGGGCCATTTTTGGTACATTGAGACAATGAAATAACATTTCTTGAGTCTTTTTCAATATTCAAGGAAGTGATCTGGAGAACTTTATGTTCTGAGACCAACCAACAAGGCACTACCTTCTTCTGCTTCCGTAAAATCAGTAGTTTGTCCTATTGGCAAACTAAAACCTTACAGAGTAGAATCATCTACCTTGAGGGTTGCTTGCTTTAAGTGCCTAATCTATTTTGTACATGGCGCTATGAAATTTTTTATACCCTTAATTTTTGGGGGTTATAATAACAAAATACATATTATTACTAAATTATTCATTTCATGGGCTTATATACTAGTTTCTTTTTATTATTTTCTTACTGGTTAGGATTTAATCAACACACATGGTGGTGTATGCTCTCTTGAATGGGAAGACTTCAAAACCTGAACCAATAAGCAAAGAACTTCAAATTTTCTCCAAACAACACATTCTTTTTTTTCTTTTCCTAGGACAAAAATAGGGGCTCAGCTCCTATATTTTTCTAAATTTTCTTTTCCTTCTTTTTCTCCTCATGAACACATTGTTTTCTATATATAAATATGGAGCTTATACCTTTTAATGAAGATTATGCATAACGACTAGTGAGAGATAGTTTGGAAGATTTCCTTTGTCTTTCCATAATATGTCATCAGGAGAGATTGACCAAACTCTAGTGTCCTCCACTAACTAGTCCAAAAAAAACTGAATCAAGCTCAGCCAACAAATGAATAAGGAACTCACATTCATTATCCCTCAATCCACCTCTAAAACCAAAATCCCAAAGCGGATAAAGTTAATGAAAACCAGTTTTCCTCTTGTATTGATTCCCAAGAAGCTGAAGTTGAGATGGGGGTTGCATTTGCATCCCATGTATGCTTGCAATAATCCTATGCCAAAACCTGTTCCTTTCCAAAGAAAATCTCCACAGCCATTTACTTAAAAGAGCCGTATTCCTATGAGTTAGGTTCACTATTGCAAGCCTTCCCTGTTCCTTAGATTTATAACCTATTCCCACTTCACCAAATGGTCCCTTTTCTCATTTCCT